AGGCATGTACCTGAGAGAAATGAAAACAAAAGGCCACACAGATTTGATCCAAGTCAGGGCTCACAGCATTACCACTCACAGCAGCCGAAGGGCGGGAGCCACCCAGAGCTCCCATAGTGTGAAAGGTGCACCAGGGCATGGAAAATCAAAGCCACATCTACTCCAAGCACACGACGGCCTTGCTGGCATACACACCTGGGGTATGCCTACTCAGAGCCTTCCCACTCGCCAGCCCCTCGGCCTGCTATAGTCTCCCCTGTGGCCCTTGGCTCCGCACCTCTCACCCCTCAGCTCTGGGTAAATGCCACTTCCACACTGCGACCTCCCTCGGCCAAGCCTCCCTAGCCACACTCACTCTCACAGCTCTGCTGTGCTCTCTCCTTAGCACTCACCACCACTGGGCATTCCACATGCTTTCCGACTAGTCCCACCCTGCCCCCACCAGAAAACAAAGTCCACGGAGTCAGACTGTTAGTTGGCTGTTCTCACCTGAGTCTCCTGAGCCCAGAAGGGTCGCAGCACAGAGCAGGCACCACAGCGGATGTGCCCTAACCATCTGCAGCATACAGATCAGCAGAGAGCTCAGAAGGCGCCCACTGCACTTATCTGGACCCGCACCATCCCAGACACAGGTATGCCACACTGGCACCAAGGGTGTCTTGAGCACTGACTGGTGTTAATTCCACATTTATATCCTCCTACCTTGTCAATCTGCATTAGCTGGGTCATATAAATGAAGTGCCCTGCACCTGAACACTCTTCTGGGACTTGCTGTGTGGAAACATTTCATGGAAACCCAGCCTGAGTTCTTACTGTAATGACAACCAACCTCCTGGAAAATTATCTTTTGTAGAAAATCAGGGCAGGGAAAGAATGGTCACTGAAGAGTAACTAAATGTGGTTAAAGGAAGATTAAGATCCTATCAGTTTAAACCAATGATACTAACATTCAGAAATTCTGTGCTGGTTTTGAGACCCAAGGTTTGTAGGCTGCTAAGTAACCATGGAAAAGGAACTACCCCCTTTTCTGCAGGCAAACCAAGAAAAGCCGAGGGTCAGCACCGGGGTGGGCACTGAAGACCTCGCTGCAACGCTGGTGGGCCTGCCATCCAGCTGCAGAGGCACCTTGGCAAGACAGTGCAGAGGGAG